CCTATTCCTGTGTTAAGCACAGTGGAATAAATAGAGAGAGAATGGGCACTGTGATGGTTACTTTCTTGTGTCAGCTTCACTGGACTGAGGGATGTCCAGATGGCTGGTAAAATATAATTTCTGGGTGTGTCTCTGAGGGTGTTTCAGGAAAAGATTAGCACTAAATTGGTAGATGAAGTCAAGCAGATCAGCCTCACCAAGTGGGTGGGTGTCATTCAATCTGCTTAGAGCCTGAAAGTAAACGAAAGAGAGAGAGAGACAGAGACAGAGAGGGAGAGGAAGGGCAAATTCATTCTCTCTGCTTCAGCTGAAACATCTATCATCTGCCCTGAGAATCAGTGCCTTTGGACTCAGCCTGGACTTATACATTGGCTCCCTTGGTTTCAGACCTCTGAGCTTGGACTAGAACTACACCACCCACTTACCTGGGCCTCCAGCTTACAGTCTGCAGGCAGTGGGACTTCTCAACCTTTTTATTGCATGAGCCAAACCCTCATAACAAATTGTTTTCTCTCTCTCTCAGCTGATAGGATTGATTCTGTTTCTCTGGAGAACCTTGAGTAACACAGGAACAATGTTAGAAGTGATATTAAAGCACACACACAAAAACATCTAAACTTGATTATGGGTTCAGGTTTGATAGCTAGCTGGATAGCAGCTCCCTCATTTTATTCAATGACTGCTTGCTCACATTTCAAAAGCAAAACATTAAATGCAAACCAAAGATAAGCACTCTCAAATATGCATTTTATGATAATTCAAATGAAAGTCTAAAGAGCAACTTTCTGTATGTATGTTTCTGTTAGGAAAGGCATCAGGGAAATGAGCTCAAGTCAGAAGAGATTGTCGTTTTCGTACATCTGGATCCTTCAAAAAACCCATCCACGAAATTCAGAATCTGTCTAAAAAGCTGCTGTCTAAAAAGCTGATTCTGTATTCTTCATTTAGAATGTGTAACACTCATTTTTGGGGGACCCCATTAATTTTTTCTAAATTCCCTTTGGCTTTCTAAGTGATTGTCTGAGCATGGTGTTCAGGAAGGCAGGTATGTGTCCAGTAGCTACATATTTTTAAAGTCACACTATTCACATATAATACTTATATTAAAACATTACCTTCGTAGGCATGTGCAGCTTTTATATCCTATACAAATTATCCAGTCCTTGGTTTCTGTGTTCTTCAGAGGAATGATGCCATAGGTCTAAACTGAAAAGCACAAGTGAAAATGATGTCGTCAAAATTAAATAGGGAAGAATGTGACCCTAAGACAACTCTGAGTGGATTTTCTGAAGACATGTGTAGGTTTTCAGTATAGATATAGAAATCACTGGATAGAAGGAAGGAATAAGAATAATAAAAGTCTCAACACATTTAATTTTTGAGGAAACATAATTCTAATACCTAGAAACTGCTTAGCTTTCTTCACCCTCCATCTATTTCCTGCCTGATGAGTTTGTATTTAAAATGTTTCCTCTGCCACATTTCCCCCCTACATCAGTGCTGTACATATGAGTGATAAGACAAGGGCTACAAACAGCCTTGAAATTCAGCTGGAATGCTCTGATCTCCTCTCAATCAGAGTGAAAAAGGCAGGCAGAGAGGAAGATGGGGGGTGAATTAACCAGTCTATCAACTGATGCAACTTCACAACTCAAGGGAACCACCTTGAATGGTGATAGAAACCAAATGGGAAATGGGCGGGAAAAGAATCCAGAATGCAATGGCCCTCCTCCAGCTTTATTGGATTATTGATTTTTTGGGTCATCTTAGTTTATTTGGGGAATGTGTCTTAAACCCATGATCGCATGGGAGAGACTGGGAGTGTTATTTCTTGTATGTAATGAAAAAGAAATGTAGAAAATTAATGAATCTATTCTATGGAATGGCCTGATTCCGGTATAACAAGTACTGAGAAGACTTGTCTCACTGAACTTTATTTGAACTTCATAGAGTGTGGAATTAATTTACATTTCATTATAGGCTGGTAATTCCCTCAGCACAATATAAGGTGGTTCCAAAATGAGCAAACTATGTATATCCTTGGGCTACTGCAAGATCCCATGAGCACCAATCCCAAAATCCCAATCTGATAGGTCAAACCTGAATTGCTTAAGCAACAGGAAGCTTGCTCTGTTCCTTTGGAGACAGATCACACTGCAAACAAGAATATTTCAAAATCTATTACTAATACTAGTACATTATGATGACAGAGTTCACTTGCAACCCCAAATAACAAAAACAGCAATAGGTTAGAATATGTACTAATTCATCATCCAGCAATGGCTTCATTAAGTAAAAGAAATTGGAGCTGGCAGTAAAGTAATAATATCACTATTATTCACACACCACTTACATCCCCTACTACCTATAGTCTTAGCGGTTACAGGGGAACTGCTAGGTCCCTAATCTCATTTAGTGAGTTCCTTCTCAGGAACTTACTGTGCTTAAAGATTTCTTACAGCTTTTTGCATGTCCTCAGTATTTTTTTAGGTTCACCATTTTGTTTACCTCCAAGGATTCCCCAAAGTCCTAAATCATATGATGTCCTAAATCATAGATGACAATAAATGATATGATATAGCATTGACTATCATTTCCTGGGGGTAGGAACAAGGGCAGTTATTAAATTATAATTTAGGCAAATACCCTAACAAGGTATGTTTCCGTGTACCTCCTGTTCTAAAGATCCTGGATTTCATCATCCTAACCTTGCTTTTAAGAATTCTCTTGTTATCTTTTCAAGCAATTTAACTTGGCCCATTTGTGTAAATAGCTGTGTCTTTTTATAAATGGTCCCTATTCAGAAGGTTTGCACTCTCCAGTATGGAAGAAGACATTGTATTGTGCCCTGAGAGACAGCCATATCAATATTTTACTAAAAGTAACAGTTGCAGTTCTTCTGAATTCAATTTAGTTGTAAGCCTCACTTTCAAGCTGCCAACATGTAACATTTTAGCCACCAGAAATGGTGCTTGTGGGGCCATATGTAAACAAAACAAAACAAAACAAAAACTTCTAAACTTGATTATGGGTTCAGGTTTGATAGCTGGATAGCAGCTCACTCATTTTATTCAATGACTGCTTGCTCACATTTCAATGTTATGAAACCATTTTTTGCAGCATGTTGTCTTTTCCAAAGATAGGCTACTAAACAATGTGGTCATAACCCTCTTCCCACAGGCAGTCTATGTACTGTCTTTGAATCAGGGCTTAAAATTTACTGAAACTGACAGAATATGGCAGAAGTGATCACGTATAATTCCTGAGTCTATGTCAGAAAAGGTGATGTAACATCTACCGTGATGTTCAGAATTCTCATTTTGGTGCCTTGAATCAAATGGTGGGTAGTCTGACATTTCTGAAACTACCCAGCAACAAGGCAACGCAAGCATGCTCATGCACCATTTGGAAAAATCCTCAGAATTCCTGGAGAGAGAGAGCAAAAGATGCCTGACAGCTTCCATCTACTGTCTGGCTGTAACCACATGAAAGACCCCAAATCACCATGGATAGGAAGTAGGGTGAGGAAACCCCCATCATTTCCATAGGAAAAGAAGGTTCAGAAGGAGAAATCAAAGACTCAGAGAATCAATCCCAGAGAGTAGTACTTGACCCTAATCAACTATATAATAAATATAAGATAACTTCGGGCTCCAATTCAAACCTCTGACCACATAGCATAACTTGAGATCTTCTTCGTTGACTTTCTCTTTAAGAGAGGGGAGGAATACGATCATCTCCAGAGTAAGTGTCCACTCAACAATGGAAGCAAGATCCAGTATAATATAATTTATTTGACAGCCTGGATAATCAAAGCCCAATTAGGGAAAACTATTAAAATTTTACTATGTTTTACATAATGAGCATATGTTAATTATAAAATAAACTAGAAAACAAAGATTAAAAATATAAAGTAATCTTATTTTAATTCTACTACTCAAAAAGAGTCACTTGTAGGTACCTGAGTGGTGTTCTTTGTGGGGTGTCTGACTCTTGGTTTAGGCTGAGTTCTGATCTCTGGGTCCTGAGGTCGAGACCCATTAAAGGCTCTGGAGTCTGCTTTAAACTCTTGCTCCCTCTTCCTCCGCCCTTCCTCCACTTTGCTCTCTCTTTGTCTCTCTTTCTCTAAAATAAATAAATAAAGCTTTCCAAAAAATAGTCACTTGTAAATAGTTAGGAATCTCAGTTGCTGACACCATAATCCACTATAGATAGGTTGAGCAAAAGTCTTTGTGAATAAGACATACTTTGACGGGCCAAGAAATTTTGTTTTTGATTTATTATTTTTATAGGTAGAGAAATTCCAGAGGTGCCTACGTGACACTGCTTTCTAAGGCTTTCTTACCACATAGGTCAAGGAACCAAGATGTGGTTTCTGCCGGTTATTTACTGTATTTATTTATGTATATATTTGGTACAACTACAGATTCCTTAAACAGTAGGTTTTGGAGTCAGGAAATAAGAGTCTTCCAAACTTTGTGTTTTTTGAGATTGTTTTGTCTATTCTAGGCCATTGTATTTCGATATAGGATTAATTTATCAATTTCTGGAAAAAGAAGACTGGGAATTCAATAGGAACCATACTGAATTATAGATAAAATTAAGAAAGAATTGTCATTTAACAATATCATGTCTTCTGACCCATGGACATGAATGCCATTTTGTTTATTAGATTGTTTTTCATTTCTTTCAACCATGTTTTGTAGCCTTCAGAGCACAACTATGAACTTCTTTGGTTACATTTAGCCAAGTGTTTTATTCTTTTTAATACTACTGTAAATTGAATTGCTTTGCTAATTTGACTTTCATGTTGTTCATTGCTAATGTAAAAAAATACAATTGATTTTTGCCACCACTGAAATTATTTATTAATATCAAGAGCCACAACTTTTCAAAGCTCTCTGTGGACATCCCAGTCCACACATCTTTCCTTTGATTTTTTGGTCAGGCTAGGTTGTCCCAGCTGGTGTTGCAGCCTCAGGTTCTTGTAATGGTAAGCAATTGCTGCTGATTGTTTTCTCCAAAGCCTCTAGATAAGGCTTTTCCTGAAAAAAGAGTTCTGAGTCAATTCAGTAACAATAGGGTTTTTTTCCAAGAAGCTCTGAGATGGGTCAAACTATAAAAATGCTCTGTAGATCAGACTTTTTCAGGAGCTTCAAACCCAGTCTCTGACCTCCAGTGGCTGCTGGGCTGCTGGTTTTCAAGGTTAGCCAGCACAACGAAAGAAAGAGGGATGGGAATAGATTGAGAAAATGTGTTATGGACTGTTGTTCTTACAGAAGTTCAGCAGATTATCTCGAATAAATGTTCCTCATTTTGCTGCAAAGCTTTAATCAATTTCCAGAGTTCTAAAAATGTTAGTTTAGACTGCTGTTGCCAGTGTTCTTGTTGCTTTTATGGAAGAAAATATTTGCAGAGGTCCACACTCCACCATTCTGGAAGTTCTACCAGGAGGCTGTTTCTATTTTTGAAGGAAATCTATTTATTACTAATTGTAACATTGTATGCATCATATATTAAACTCTTTTTTTTTTTTACTTAACAGGATATCATAGAAAATTATTAAAACTATTTCCCACGTCTATAAACATACATCCAGATAATACATTTACATGCTTCTTGCTCTGACTAGATGTTCGACCGGACCCTAATCATGTTTCTGCCTGTTTATAATCAATGAACTTGCTTTCTCTTACAGGAATTGATAGCCAACTAAAAAAGCATTTAAAATAAAGCACAGAAAACAATGGATCATAGCAGTATATAGCAAGGGCTACTGTATTAGTTTGGGGTAGGAATTGAGAGATGTTAAGATTTTCTTAGGAAAAAAATGTAATCGAAGCAGAATTCTGAAGAATGAGCAGGAACGATCTCGGCAGTTTGTAAGAAGACTATCTCTTAGTCAGGATCCAAAGGCCTAAATGTGAAAGGATGAGCATCGCTGGGAAGTAGAAAGCAGAGGAAAGTGGCTAGAAATGAGCTTGGAGTGGTAGGAGAGGTGAGAGGAAGTCTGAAGTGACAGAACACAGGGACAGTTGGAGGAGTAACTGGTCGCAGCGAGTAGAAATTGGGCAACCCCGCATCCAGAAAAATGAAAAAGGAGCCATTTGCTGTGCTGGTAACGGAAGATAACATTGGCCTTGCGGGTAGAGAGGAGCAGACCGATCCAGGGAGGAGAATCGCAGGACTCGGTGATGAGGGGAGGGACAGCAGAGGACACAAAGAAGTCAAGACGGAGTCCCGGGTGTTTCATTGCAAAAACCGAGTTGAAGATCATTTCAGCCACTGGGAGGCAGAATTATTCTTTAGCGAAAGATTCTATGCGTTTTCTCTGACCTATATACTTTGTGGTATGTGTCAGATACCCAATTTCAGATACTCAGTGAGGATTTTGACACATGAATTGGGATCTCAGAAAAGAGATCTGGGCTAGTAACAAAGATGTAAGAATCATCAGCATAAAATGGTTCCCTGACATCGTGGACAAGGATGAGGTAAGTCAAGGATAAGAAAGCAGAGAAAACACTCAGATCTTAAACCATAGTTTAGAGGCCCACCCAGGGCAAGAAGCCTGCAGGGGAAATGGAAGGTGTGGCCACAGATGAGTGACACAGACCAGGACAGCGAGGTGTCACGGCAGCTGGGGAGGTTAGAGGGAGGCTGGCAGTACTGGAGGCCGCTGAGGACCAGTCAGACCAGGACCAAAAGTGTCCTTTGGATTTCACCACAGGGTCATTGGTGATTTGGTGAGAACACTTCAGGAACTGCGGGCATGGAAGATAAATTTCAGGGGGGGTGGGTTTGGGAGATGTGGAGAGAACCACCATAGAGAAATCTCTTAAGCAGCTTGTCTGTGGAGAGGAGAGAGGGTTACAGGCAGCTAACAGGGGAGGAACCAGCGTCAGACCAACTGAAGCCACTTTCTTTCTGTCTTCCTCCTTTGTGTTTCCTTTTGGATAGGTATTGTTTGGGGTTTATTGTTTTTAAGTATGGAGGGACTTGAGTGCATTTAAGAGTCCGTAGGTAGGGGCTATTAGAGAAAGAGAGAGAACAGAAGCATTGGAAATACTAAGAGAAACCAGTCGATTCAAGGATGGAAGAGACCATGGGTAAGAGTCTGAAAAACCTTGTCCTTCACATTAGCTGACCCCTTGTTGAATATCAGAAACAGAGAAGACAATGGATAAAACCATCCATATCCCCTTCACCGCCAACCAAAACTAACTTAATCAGATAAAGTCGGTTGTTTGGTTCACCAAAAATCTGGGTTCTCTGTAATTCAGTTTCCAGAGCTTCTGGTAATATGAGGCCTTTTTTCTTCCTTCCTTCCTCTCTTCCTTCCCTCCTTCCTTCCTTTCTTCCTTCCCTCCTTCCTTCCTTTTTTTTTTTTTTTTTTCCTTAAGACTTATTTATTTGAGAGAGAGAGGGAGGGAGAGTGTGTGCACAGAGCAGGGGGAGGAGCAGAGGGAGAGGGAGTCAGGTGAATCTCACGCAGACTCCCCACTGAGAGGAGCCCAATACAGGGCTTGATCTCATGACACTTGAGCTCATGACCTGAGCCTAAATCACAAGTCAGACACTTAACCAACTGAGTCACCCAGATGCCCCATGAGGCCTTTCTTCTCAAATCATGTCTGTTGTGGTGCCCCTGGGTGGCTCCTCCGTGAAGCATCTGCCTTCCGCCCCGGTCATGACCCCAGGGTCCTGGGATCCAGCCCTGGTTGGGCTCCCTGCTCAGCCAGAAGCCTGCTTCTCTCTCTTCCTACTGCTCCCCCTGCGTGCTCTCTCTCTGTCTGACAAAAATAAATAAAAATTTTTAAAAATTAAAAAAAAAAAAAATAAAAGAGAACTGTTGTGAATAACCCAGTGCTTTGTTGTCCCTCCTGGGTATCTTTTTGGTCAGAACACAGTCAGAACCAGAAGGCCAGCCGATTCCTGATGTAGATTTAAAGTTTCATTAGGATCTAATTCTCTACCTCAGGACTTAACCCTTGGGCACTAGGAGAAGCATGTGTCTGTCATTTCCCTTATATTCATAGACAGTCTGTCTCATTTTATGATGCCGATACCCAAACGTGTAATCAATTCATACTTTACTGAGTCCTACCTGCTCTTCAAGACTTACCTGGTCACACATAACAGGTCTTTGCTGCATACAGTTATCAAAGGCAACAATCTACCGGCGTCTCCATCAGTCGGTTCTGCAGGAACGACTTTGTGGGACGACTATAACTCAGCCCAGAAGTTATATTCTGTTTGTCTCCTCCTGCCTCCTTCTGAGCTATCTGTGACTCTTCCTGTCAGTTCTCAGTCTAAGCTCCACAGTAAAGTGAGGAGAAGGTAGCCCTGTGAGAAGCTTTAATTAGCGTCATTCCCAGCGCATCACAGGGTGGAAGCAGCACCCAGTAGCGTCCCCACTATCAGGAGTCTGGAGAGACAGCCTCACCCGGGCAGATTCTCTGTGGGCTACAGCCTCACAGACCACCAGGGTGTCTTGGCTGGAAGACATTCTGCTGTCCGGGCAGAGGACAAAGAAGACAGAAAAGAGGAAATGAGACAGCAGTCAGAGGAGGGACGCATACGGAAGCTGCTTAACAGCCCGATGAGAGAACGCTTTTTTTGTTTATGCTTTAGGAAGAAAGCTGAGACTTATAAAGTAACTTTCTTGTATTGCTTAAATGGGGTGTCAGGAAAGGCTTGCAAATGTTTGTCGCAGTGTCAGAATAAGCAGTGAATGAATAGCAAACACATCAAAAACAGGACCAAATTTCTCAAAATGATGTAGCGGCTTTGCCTATTCCTGTCGTCCTTAGACCTTACAGGAGATTGCTGAGCAAAACAAGCCACCGTCTTAGTCTTAGCATCTCCCTTTGAAGTCACTCAGCATAGGAGATAATTATGATAATGCACACAACAGCTTTTTCTTCTGCCAACGTTCCTTTTCATCAATCTCTCTATTGTTTTCCCCAACAACATGATGGGTAGTAATATGAGGCCCCATTCTTTCTCTCTCTCTCTTTTTAATACCATTAATGCTCACTGAACCTCATTTAATTAAGGGAATGTATATTGATACGCATAGCATAATCAGGTCAGGGACTGGAGTCGAAATTGATTGAGGACAGCTCTTTCACACTTATTTCAATTTATGAATGCTCAGACGCAGACAGATAGTGAAAAGGATTTAATTTCCGTTTGTGTTGTTTGCACATTCTTTATAATGTAAGCATTAATTGAACATGCTCAGTGTCAGTGCAGAGCAATCAAGCATATCCATTTTTCATAAATGAAGGTCACAGGTCAATCTTGAGCAAGTTCCAAGCAATCTAGTTATAGAAATGTATTTATATGTGATCAGCTGTAAAATGAAAGACTAGAGATCTGGAAAATGAATACCAGGAGAGCCATGCAGTTTCAGCTACAGAATGGTACCTTCTGGAAAGGGAACACCAGAGGTTTGTTACTTTCTGCTTTGGAATGATGTTTTGGGGCTCTTCATGAATTTCTGAGATGCCCTTTGGTTTGGTTGTTGATGCCGCTCATCAAAAAGGATGAGTTCAGCATTGGGGGAGGGAATTGTGAACTGAAAATTGCTTTGCTGAGGATGGGGTTGTTGATTGAAACCCACAAAGCAGGGCTGCCTGGGTGGCTCAGTTGGTTAAGTGTCTCTCTTTGGCTTAGGTGATGATCCTGGGGTCCTGGGATCGAGCCCCATACCGAGCTTGCTTCTCCCCTTCCCTCTGCCTGCCATTCCCCCTGCTCGTGCTCTTGCTCTCTCTCTCTCTGTGACAAATAAATAAATAAAATCTTTAAAAAATAAAAAGATAGGGCGCCTGGGTGGCTCAGTGGGTTAAGCCTCTGCCTTCGGCTCAGGCCATGATCTCAGGGTCCTGGGATCGAGCCCCGCGTCGGGCTTTCTGCTCAGCGGGGAGCCTGCTTCCTCTCTTTCTCCGCCTGCCTCTCTGCCTACTTGTGATCTCTCTGTCTCTGTCAAATAAATAAATAAAATCTTTAAAAAAAAAAAAAATAAATAAAAAAAAAAAAAAATAAAAATAAAAAGATAAAAAAAACAAACCCATAAAGCATTCTGTCCACAAATACTTAGTAAGGGCTTCCTCCTCACCAAGCACTGAGTTAGGCATCCATTTATAAACTGGATAAACTATTTGCTAGATGACTATGTGGCTCTTTTTCAAATTATGAAGATGTCAGCTTTTCATTCAAAATAACAGATTTATAATAGCCTATTCTCATTATGTATTTTCCCAATTTGATGTTAATACCCATATATTTTACAACATCTGTATAGACCCACATATCTTTATAATTAGAATATTCTGTTAATTTCTGAGATTTTATCCTAAAATTTCAACTTAAAATTAATTCATATATTTCCTTAAAACACAACCCAAACTTCTCACATCTTGATCTAAAAATTCTGTAATCAAAATGAATCACACTTGTTGCTCCACTATAAAAATGTGCACAATTTCTCACATCTAGAATAGCATTCTCTATATATTAAGCTCAAAGTGATATGAGCATAAAGTGGGGAAACTTTCTGAAATTCATCTTTTCCCCCTGAGAGTAAGCACTTTACTAACGTAAGCAACCTTACCTATTTGTATCTTCATCAGCGAATGTAATTTTGCTCATTGCCTCAGAGACATTGAAATGTTCACTCTGTCTTGCATCTTCTCATTCCATCCCTTGCATTTCCAAGACTTTAATGTCCAAAGGTCTTGTGAAGTCATTTTATGCTTTATTCTTAAACAGTGTGAGGCCAGTTAGCTAGGTGAGAGAACACTAAAATTTGCATGTGATTTCAAATTTTTGTTCTTCAAAAAGACCTTGTTAAAAAGTTGGATGGAGTAATGCTCATCATGAGAACTATTCTGTGTCGCTTCCAGTATTTGTGTCTTGCTTGAACCAGGGAACACAACAGGAAAAAAACATTTAGAAGACATTAGGGTCAGACAAATATTTAAAGTGTCACCTGTTTGTTTGATTAGAGAATTGAATGAAAGGAAAATCAAACATGGGAATCACAAATACAAAAAGAAATATATATTTAAAAAATGGAAAAATGTAACTTACTCTTGTAAAACCTATAATCTAGGTTGATTTCCTACCTTGATTTGTAAAGATTAAATGAACAACTCCATGCCTGAATAACAACTACCCCTAAAAGGAGACATAGTAGGAAAATATAAAGATCTATGGAAAATTTTCACTGAAGAGTATATTTGTGGGAAAAGTCTTTTTTGCCCCATTCCTAAAGCTAAAACATATAATGAGAGCAAACAGAGGGTCCTGGGTGGTGCAGTCAATCGAGCCTCCAACCCTTGATTTTGGCTCAGGTCATGATCTCAGAGTTGTGAGATTAAGCCCTGTGTCTTGCTCTTTGCCTCAGCACAAAGTCTGTTTGGGATTCTCTCCCCCTCTCCCTCTACCCCTTCCACTTGTGGTTTTTCCTTCTGTAAAATAAATAAATTGGTCTTTAAAAGAGGGTTAACACCTTCAAATTCTTTAAAAGCAAAAACCATTAGAAGGAGGATTTAGTACCTTCATCAGAGAAAGATGCTGAAGATTGTCCAGTCTTTCCCTCTGTGTCCCATCCCCTCAGACAAACACCAAATATTTTATATTTAGTGATATGAATGATGTGGTATTTCCTGACCTCCTTTTCTCATGTGGATTTTTTTCATGCATTAATCTTTGCTCAAGGTCTTGAAATTTCAAGGAAACAAATGATGCAGCATGTACTGTGGGAAGTATGAATACAGTTATTGTTAAGAGGTCAGGAATAAAAGCCCTAGACACTGGAAAAAAAGAGATGACCTAAATGTCCAGGCTCAAAGAGGAACAAAATGCATGTCAGATGGGCTCCCTCAGCTCTGGACTCCCACTCCAAGAAAGAAGAAATTTTTAACAGGACAGATTTCAGGGGAACCATAGTGACAAATTCTAACTGAAAGGTGCTTCGTGGTGAGTAATATGCATCGCGCCTCCAAACATTTAGATGGAAAAAGAATGTGTATAGGGTTTTCTTGGGAAATGGAGTTTAAGGCAGGAGACTGCATGAGGGAAATGTACGAGAATGTCCCCAGAGACATTATTAAAGGCTTGCTCATAGAAAAGAGTCCATACAGGCTGCTTTTGATCTGGAAGAATGACGTGTCTTCTCACACAGGATGTGTAAAATAGTTTTGGAGGCGTGTGACTCCAATTCCAGAGTCTGGCAGAGAAGCAATAGCTTCTCAGAATGAAAGGAAAACAAAAGATATGTTAAATGAAAAATGATAGATACAAGTAGAGGTATACATACCGGTAATAGGTAACACAGTTAAAAATTACATTTCGAAACTATTATCATGGTTGTTGTTTTTCCTAGGGTGGCGAAACAAGCAGGAAAAAACACAAAACAGACTTAGCACTTTTTTGTGGTAGGTAATGTACAACGAAGTTGAAAGCTGGGAACCGTACTGAATGTTTCTTACTAAATGTTGAAACAATTAATCAATAGGAAGTATTAGTGTTTCCAAACCATGAAATTGTTGGAATTTGCTTATCTTTCTTTTACTTGCTGGACATTAGTTTCCTAGAGAAAAAGTGATTATCAGTCAAAACCAAATTCTACTTTCCTAACATATGACCTATATTTTCATTCATTTTGAATGAATTTATGTAGTTATTTCCTTTGGAACAAAAGATAGCTGATCTTCATAGGCATATCTTAAATTCATAATTCTCTCCAGAATATATATTAACAAGGCATGCAACTTTATTTTGAGAATACATGAGATAACCAACTTGAAAAGATTTGCAAATAGGATGCCAGGTTTTATTAAAACAAAAGAAAAAGAGATGTAAAGATTTATCTTTCAGCCTGTCTAACTCATATTTATATCTTTCAATCTACTAAATTGGGGGTTTGGAAAAACTATGGTCTATGGTCTAAATCTGGCCCTTGGCTTGCATTTGCAAATAAAGTTTTACTGCAACACAGCCATGCCCGTTTCTATACACATTGCTTTTGCTCAACAATGGCTGAATAACCATGACAGTGGTCACATGACCTTCAGGTCCAAGAATATTTCTATCAGGCTCTTTATTTTTTTAAAGATTTTATTTATTTATTTGACAGACAGAGATCCACAAGCAGGCAGAGAGGCAGACAGAGGAGGAGGGGTAGCAGGCTCCCTGCTAAGCAGAGAGCCCGATGCGGGGCTCGATCCCAGGACTCTGGGAACATGACCTGAGCCGAAGGCAGAGTCTTTAACCCACTGAGCCACCCAGGAGCCCCTGTATCTGGCTCTTTAGAGAAAAGGTTTGCTGGTCTCTGTACTAAATGCAAAGATTTTATGCCAGATTGATTTAAAAGGTATGGAATTTCTAATTTTTCTTTTCACTCTGTAATTCCATCATTAAACTGCAATGAGGACTAATTTTGGGTGAAGCTCTCTGCCAGTACATGATACATATATTCCTATGTATGTCTCCAAACTTTTCTGTGAGGGAGATAT